AAAAGTCCCCTCTTAGGGAGAAAACTTTGGCATCTGGCTGCACTACAATTCCAGGAGTGGAAGCTACAACATGTACAGGGAGTATAGAGACCTGACCACTGCTGGTGCCGTCACTCAGTGCTATCGAGATATGGGAGCCCGTCACCGTGCCTGGGCCCACTCCATCCAGATCATGAAAGTGGAAGAAATTCTTGCCATTAAGTGCTGCCAGCCTGCAGTCAAGCAGTTTCATGGCTCCAAAATCAAGTTCCCTCTGCCCCACAGAGTTCTACATGGCCAGCACAAACCATGCTTTACTACCAAGAGGCCCAACACGTTCTTCTAAGTGCAGAGACAAGGAGGCACCTGTTTTATTTGATCTGTTTAAATAAATTTCTCAATTGGAAACCCCCCACCCCCAAATTCTTATATCAGGTATAGGGTTTAGGTAAAGATTAAAACAGTAAGTGGTTATACAAAAAACTGAAATTCTCTAAAGTCTCAGGTGAATTATGGGTTTCTAATTTGATGTCTTATAGTTCTGTGGTTAATAAGATCAGAACCATAAGACTTGAGCTGGTTTTCACCATATGAACTAGTTATTGGAAAATAAAATTTAAGAGAGTGTACCAAATTGTATCACTGTAGTCATAGATATTGTATATCGCAGTCTTGTTTGTTGTTCGGTCATTCAGTTGCATCCAACTCTTTGTGACTCTGTGAACCATACTTTCTCCATGGGATTTTCTTGGCAAAGATACTGGAATGGTTTGCCATTTCCTTCTCCAATGGATTAAAGCAAACAGAAGCTAAGTGACCTATCAAGGGTCACACAACTAGTAAGTGTCTGAGGTTGCATTTGAATTCAGGTCTTCTTAACTGTAGGCCCTGTGCTTTGAGTCACCTAGTTGCCTTTTCCAGTCTTGTTACTGACAGATTTTAGCAGAAATATCTAGGAATCTCTATAAAAGATTTAGAACAAGAGAAAGCAGAGCCCTCTTCAGAACTGTTCTGAAAATGAGGCCTATTCCAGAAAGTCCAGAAGATATTTCCAGGGATCAGATGACCACATGGGAAAACTGGGACTTAAGACAATATATGATGCTTAAATGGACATTGGAAGTGGATTACTAGGATACAAGAAAACGGTGTTATTTAATATTGATGATCATCATTGTATTACTTTGGCCTTTTGTTTCATGGTGTTTAGATCTGCTGAAGTCATGTCGGTGACATAAATCTCTCCTCTCAAAAATTAGTCCATTGTGAGCCCTCTTTGTAGTCTGATCTGTAGCCCGACATGTAATTCTGAATATATACATATATATGTGATTCTAATTATATAAACTTTATAGATTTGGCTTATAAACGATTGATAGTGGAGGGTGCCAGCCCCCTCCCCCAGGAATCAGAGGAGGGGAACTGTGGGAACTGAGTGAACCAAGTCCATCTTGTGACTCAATTCTGGATCTAGCTCAGTTCCCTTTCTATTCAATTATGGATTTAGTCCAATTTCTGTCTTCTGAGAAAATTTTATTCAATTATGGGAATGGTGATAACACATTATTGCACTGTTTGAAATTAGCTCTGCATGGTTAGGAAGCTGGACCACCTCTACCTGTGGCTGGCTTAGAGACCTTTAACTAAGGACCTAGGTTATGCTGATCAGAAACCAAGTCAGATCCAAGGATTGACCACAATTCTACATCTCAAGCAACCAACATGTCTTAACTGCAAATTGACCTGTACTGGTCAATCAGTTACTGTTTTCTTGTTCCTTCGATTGAATACAGACACTTGGGGGGGGCGGGAAGTGGGACACCTCTTTTTTTTTTTTCTGATTTCAGGGAATTGCACCTCTTCATTCTACCCCTTCCAACTCGGAAAGCCCTTGATCTTTCCTTCAATTAGAAATCAGATTATGTAATCTTGTATCCTGGCTTGTATCCTGTTAATTGTTTTCTTTTAATGCATAAAGATTTCACCCCCTGCAATTCAGGGTCCAGGGCTAAGCTGAGGAGGCCTGGTTACAATTTGTTATGCAATAGGCATGTATTGCTCAATAAATCAATATGCCTGAAACCTCGAACTTTTGTTTCCTTTGTCATTTCAGATTTCACCCATCACAATATGGAGGTAGCCAAATTTTCATGACCTTGTGAATGACGCATGCTTATCTTCAGTAGTTCATGTGTAATTTCTGCACGTCACTTCCAAGTGGATGACTGCTGAATTTCTTTTTCTTGAAGGTTTGTTGCTGTTATTCCTGTTGTTGCTTTTGCTTAGACAATAGGGGTTAAGTGACTTACCCAGGGTCACACAGCTAGTAAGCTGAATTTCTTTTTCTAGTTCTTATCTTTCATCTACGGTCCTATAACCAAGAGTTGTCTAATAGATGTTCTGTTCTCTCCACTCAAATTCGATCTTCTCTGATAACTGGCTTTGCCACTTACTAGCTGTGTGGCCTTGGCAAAGTCATGTCTCTCAAAGCCTCAGGTTCTTCTTCTATAGAATTAGGGGGCTGGACTCAGACCTTAAGGTTCATTACAGCTGTAAATTCTATGTCCCAAATTAAACTCATTATCTTCCACCCAGACAAGTTATCCCATTGAGCTTTCTGATTTCTTGTCAATGAGTCACTGTTGTGTCACCCAGATTTAAAACCTTGGAGTCATCATTGGACTCCTTCCTCTTCCTGTCATTCAAAAGTCCCCATAATCTTGCTGTACCCTTCCTCTCTCATTATACCTCATCTTGAATTCTATCAGTCAACTTGGACTCACTGTCCCAGAGGGCACACCAAACTCATTCTTATCTACTGCTTCTCCTACTACTATGTACTATCTACTACTTATATTGTCTTCTGTGTGGTCCACAGTAAAGAGGATTGAAATTAGAATAAAGGCCAAGGTTCCTCATGTGCAAAATGTGGAGGTTGGATTAGAGTCTCTTTTAGCTGCATGATGAGGAAACTGAGGGCCAGTGAAGGGAAGTAATTTTTTCCCCTTGGCCCTAAAAGCCTACTGTTCTTCAAAGAGAAAGACAGACTCTGAGGGGGGAGGGAGTGGTTTCCAAATAAATTCCATACAGGAGGGGTTGGGGAAGTAAACTGGAGCACTTAATCAGATGGTCAGGGGATTACTGACAGCTCAGCTTGCTGGTCTGGTAGTAAAAGGCGTATTTCACTTCCTCTATGATAATTTTTTTTTCTTTTTCCTAACCACCATAGCCTATCTTGATGTCTCTCTCTCTCTCTTTTTTTTAAAACTCTGATAGTATTTAGAGTACTTGATTATATGCTGCCTTGCATTATCTCCTTCTTGTTATTTCATATTAACTATTATCTTTCCTGCCAGGTGTGTAAGTTCTTTTGGGTCAAGGACTCCCACTCCTGTATCTAACTTGGAGCCAGAAATGAAGTAGGCATTTAACAAATCCTGTTCTACTTTTTTATTGCCCTGTCCTACTGAAAAGTGACAGCTAATTCACTGATTAATTTAATTTATTAAGTACTTACTATATTGGAAACTAATATTTTGCATAGTGAAATTACAAGATTCCCCACTGCTCTGGATAGGTTACAACCTATCTTAGGAAGACAAAACAAGCTAGACATTTTTGAGGAGTTGAGACAGATTATGGATGTTATAAATCATTGTCAAGTCTAGAAGCAAGGCAGTCCTCTGCAAAATTTCATGGATATCATAGATATCAGCACTTGTAATGAAAACTGTTCCTCTGATTGTGTTTTCTAGCTAAGTAGCGTAATTTACACATTAGTCTCATAAAAGTATTTTACCTTGGGTTTGATGGAGGGAAACATCTTTAAGGCCCAAGTTCTCTTTAATCCTAAATTCCTTCTTTTCTCCCACACCCATTTTTTTCCCTTTTCGTTAAATGCCTATTATTCCTTACATCTGAATAGTAACCACATTCTGCTGTTGTCTTCCTTTGAAATGTCCCTTGCATCCATTTCTCCCATTCTAATAATCCCATTGCATGGATAAATCTCGAGTCCCTCTGTTCTTCCTCTCCAGCTTTTCTAAATCAGGTTAAAATTAGCTTCAAGGGCAGCTTTGAAAGTGAAAAGAAACTATAACAGAACGCAGCTCGAGGAGAGAGTTTTGGGATGAGAGGAGGGGTGCACTTTCAGGCTTCTGTGATTTATAGGGCAAGGAAACCCCACACAGAATGGGCTAGCTCAGGAGTGGGGAACCTGCGGCCTCGAGGCCACACGTGGTCCTCTAGGTCCTCAAGTGCGGCCCTCGGACTGAATCCAAACTTCACGGGTTCCCCAGCTGTGAAGGACCCTACGGTCCGGCGATTCTCGTAGTGTGGGTCCTGCGGGTCCCAGATATCCTATTTTCACAACAATACAAAGACGTTTTAATTTCGAATACAGTAAATACCATAAATAAATAATTCACATAAACAAAAGCTCTTTTTTTGGGGGGGATATCCTCAGTAATTTTTAAGAGCGTAAAGAGGTTTTAAGATAAAAAAAAAGTTGAAGAACCAGTTATCTAGATTCTAGGATAACCCTCTCCTTTTACAGATGAGGGAACTGAGGCCGGGGACTTGAAAAGGACTTTGTCAAGGTTACACAGCAGGTGAGCCAGGAGGCAGGATGGGATCTCAACCCGACCGAGCTCGTTGACTGCCCTCGCAGCGGGGGGCAACTCTTCACCAGGAAGAGCCGCGGGATGACGGGCCGCGGAGAAGGGCGGAGGAACCGGGCGGGGCCCCTGCGCTTAGATCTGCGAGGCGGCCCTCCGCGCTTGCGCAAGAACTCCGCCACGCTCTCCCACTCCTGCGTGGCTGAGGAAAAGAACGCCCCGGCTGGCTGGCCCTCACCTTCTTCCTCCCCTCCCCATGTCGCCACCCTTCCCCTCCTCCCTTCGGTGCAGGGAGCCGGGACGCTCCGAACCCACACCCCACCTCCGCCCTGCGTCACAGAGAGGCTTGTGACTGCCCCGCCCGCCAGAAGTATCGAGCGCGGAGGTCGGTGCTGCGCGTGACGCGGCAAGCGCGAGCGCGAGCGCGGGCGAGAGCGAGAGCGAGCTCTTTGGGGAGGGCTGGAGAGGAGGCGGAATCGAGGCACTGAAGAGTGGGTCCGGTCCGGTCCAGGCTGGTCCGCGAACATGTCCGTTTGACACTGTCCAGGTGAGACTGACGCGCCGAAGGGACTGGAAGGGCCCGGGCTGGGCCGGGGTGTTTGGGCCTCGGCTGAATTCCGTTTCAGCCGACCTGCGGCCTCGGGACTTCGGGCGGGGCCGGCCGGGCCGCGCTCCCCTGGGCTGCCGGCCCAGCTAGCCCACCTGCAGGGGCCGCGCCCGGCCGGCCTGGCGCTGTCAGTCAGCCCTGCGCCACCGCTGCGGGAGTGGCCGCGCCCACCCCGTCCTCGGCACCCCTCTCGGGAGATGGAGGCCCGGACAGGGAAGACCGCGGAGGCGGTGCGGGAGGGCCGCGCGCTGGGGACTGTCCGGGACGTGGCACGGCGGGCACCGGGGCTCCGGCTGGACCTAGAGGGTGGGGATGCGGATGTGGCGACGCCACCCCTCGCCCGTGCTCTCCCTTTCCTTGGGAAGGCCTTAGGGTCCGTTAAATGTCACCCAGGTGTTTTCAGGTTGCTTCTGGAGTGTGACAAATGAAGCATTGACATAGCACCCTTATTTTTTTCCTAGAGCTAGAAGGGACCTCAGGCTGGCTAGTCCAATCCCTCTCTCTTTTTACAGATGAGAAAACTGAGGTCCAGGGAGGTTAAGTGATTTGCCCAAGGACACACAGGTAGTATCAGAGGTAGGATTTGGCCTAGGTCCTTTGACTCCAGAGCTAGTGCTCTTCCCACTGTACTAAGCTGCAGGTTACTTATTCGTTTTCCCAATATGTAATTGAATGATGATACTATTTTACAATTCGGTGACTCTTCCAAAGCACTTTGACATATATTCTGTTTATACCTTTAAGCCCCAGCAAAAACCCCACCACAGACAGGAAGCCTTCCCCAGCCCTTCTTAATTCTGTTGCCTTCCTGTGTTATTTCCTATTTATCCTGTATGTAGCTTGCTTTGTATGTATTTGTTTGCATGTTGTCTCCCCCTTTATATTGTAAACTCCTTGAGGGCAGGGCCCTCTTTTCCCTCTTTTTTGTATCCTCAGTGCTTAGCACTGTGCCTGGCACATAGTAGGTACTTAATAAATATTTATTGAATTGAATTGAATTTGAACCTGAATGTGGAACTGGGACTAAAAACTAGGTCCTGCATCCTTGGTTGCTATACCTTTCTCACCAGATTGACTCTAACTGAAGTAGCTGATCATTCAATCTAATTAGCTTTCTTCCATTCTAATTTCTGACTTAAACTCTGGGGGAAAATTGAAGTCAAATTAGGGAACTTTGAAAAATAAATAAAAACTTACAATATTTTTGTTTTAACAAGAAGGTTTAAAAGAATATTTGACGGACATGTTGGCTGCTAGAGTATAGTTAGTGACAACTATAGATAGCTACAATAGCATAAAACTTTTCCAAATATTGTACTCAGATACAAGAATAAATTTAGGCTAGGATGAGGTGATTTGATAAGCTGACTGTTGCAAGAGACATCTACTGAATTGACTTCTTAGTCAGTAGCTATACCTGTATGCCATGTGCAATATAATAGTGCTTGACATAAGAATTATGCTGGGTCAGATTTGTGATAGTACATCCAGTCCAGTATTCTGTCTCTGATCGTGGTGTTCAGGGATCCAATCTTGAGCTTTAGGCTTAACTGATCCAAACTTCTTTTTGAACCTTAGGGCCTTTACTTTTCACCACATTCTGAATCTTCCAGGTCATGAACCCCCACCAAAGTCCCTGTGCCACTTTTATGTACCTTCCTGGGTCACTGAAGCAAAGGTTGGCCATTTGGGTTCATAGATTTGCTGCATCTGATCCCTAATTTGTCATTATTAAGGTGTTGCCACCAAGAACCAATTGTTCTCTGTTTTACATCTGCTTCTTTTTCTCTTTTTATCCTGTTTCCACATGATCATGTGGCTTTTTTTTTAAGGATTTGTTTACAAGGGAAAAGAACATAGGAATTCATAAATAATTCAGGACAAGGTAATTAGAAATATGTTAATTTCAGACTGACACCTAAACTTTTTAACCTAAGCCTTAAATAAAATTCTCCTAGCCATTTGGCTATTGACCCTCTTCTAGCCTGGTAATGTCATGCTGCCGTGTCTGGCTCTCTCATGGCTGCATAAAAGAATATTGTCTTTGCTACTAGAATACTCCCAAGCTGATTTTGAGATTCCTTACTTGGGTGTGCTGGATCAAGCTCTTTTGCCCATTATATATTCCCTGGATCTCTCTCAACCAATCAGGAAGTGACTTGATGGCATGACTTTTGGTCCTTCCTCCCACATTCCTATATAATCACTTTCCATCTCCTCCCCCTCAAAATAAATACAAACACATAAATACTATAGTGTTTCCATCACCTCCAAAATCAGAAAGATTCAACCCAACAAATAAGTTACTCCAAATATACAAAAGACAACTCCTTTCCTTAAACTGTGGTACCAGAGAATAGTTTATGGGAGGAAATGTTTGATTTCCCTTATGCCAACCTCAAAAGTTTAGAGAGACCATTCTTCCCTAATCCTTGTGTCCTTTGGCAACTCTTTAGTATCTGTCAATACCTGTGCTCTTTTTTCTATTATCTTTTGAGATTACAGAAGCAAAGAATGTTTGAACTGGAAGTGAACTTAGAGATCATCTGGTCCAAATTCCCCACTGCCTTATTTTACTGTTAGTCTTTTTGGCTGTAGTAGCACACTGGAGCTTCAGGAAGCACTCTACAATGACTCTCAGATACCTTTTTTGGATTGCAGTTGATAGTTTAAAAACCACCACCTTAATAAATGGAATTTGCATTATTTTCCTCACTTTCCCTGCTGTGAAATTTTCTGTTTTTCTGCCTATTCTGACAACATCCAAAGATCTATTGCTACCTTGAAAAGTTTAGTTTTAGCTGCATATTAGTAAAAATTTCAGATAAGATCTATCTAAGCACTGATCCCTGGGGGAATTTCAGTTCTCCACATGCGAAAGTTGTGTATTTATCCCAAACTGATATTTCCTGACATTAATTCAGTTCATTAATTTTGACAGCCTCACTTTCCACCTGCCCCTCCATCATAGGATCTTAGATTTAGAGCTGGAAAAAGGTATCCTTAGGGATCCTTGAGGCTAACCCCTCTCATTTTACAGATAATGAAATGAGCCCAGAGAGGTTAAGTGAATTGTCCTACTAGGTCATGCAACTAATAAATGTTTGAAGTGGGATTTGAACCTAGATCTTCCTTATTCTATCTGTCCCGCATTCTATCTACTGCACCTTGGTGACTTAAAAAATGATCTCTATTCTGTGTAACTTTTATTAATTAAATAAGTTATATTGCCTTCTTTTTCCTTGTCTTCATGCTTTTTTTTCTTTTATTCCTTTAAAAAAATTTCATTAATCAAGCTTTGATTTCTTTTACAAAAAAAGGTTACTTTTAATAAGTTGTTTGCTTGAGTGTTTTGATCTTATGTTTTCTTGGAGATCTCTGTTATATTTCATTTTGCTCAGCACTAGTCTGTTGTTCCCATAGGGTCCTTATGAAGCCCTTTTTATGGATGGAGTTTGAAGCATGACTTTCTCCACTTTTGCATTGCTAACTTCTTGGAGAATTGTAAGCAAACTTTTCATCTCTAGAGGATCCTAGATCTTGCCTGCCTGCTTCTCTGTACAGCCACTACCCATTTTAAAAAAAATTGAACTCCCTGTTTTTCTATAAACTGGTGGTGTCATTTCAGTAATGTTCCTAGGAATGGGCAATATTTATTAAGGAAGAAGTCAGTTTGGGATTGGCATTAGTGCTTGGCTTGTAAATAAATGTCTGAGTTGATTGTGTGTTTATGTGTGTGTGTGTGTGTGTGTGTGTGTGTGTGTAAGTTTATTGATGATTTTTGGCATTATTGTTACTTTTCAATACTCCCACCTCACATAGAACCCTTTCTTCTAACAAAGAGAAAGAGTTAAGCAAAACAAATGGGACACGTGGACCATGTCTGAGACAATGTGTAACATTCTCTATGTTTCTAGGCTGGAAGGAGATTTATTATTTCTTCTCCAGGACCAAGATTGGTTATTAATCAATTTAGCTGCTTTGGTTTTTGTTTTTTTTTGGTGAGGCAATTGGGGTTAAGTGACTTGCCCAGAGTCACACAGGTAGTAGGTGATATGTGTCTGAGGCTGGATTTGAACTTAGGACCTTCTGACTCCAGGGCTGGTGCTCTATCCACTGCACCACCTAGCTGCCCCCAATTTAGCTGCTTATTTAGTGTTTTCATTTATATTTTTGTAGTCATTGCTTATATTTTTCTCTTCATTCTGTTTTCTTTGCTCTGTGTCAGATAATCTCTTCCCAAATTCCTCTGAATTCTTCATATTTGTATATCTGTAAGTATCGTATAGCATATATGCAAAGTATTTCTGGATAACATTAGAGGGTAAGGAATGCCTGGAAAGGCCTCTAGCAGAGAGTAGGATTTGAAGAAAATCAGAGATTTCAAGAGACTGCCAGTGAAAAGGAAGACAGGAGATGAAACATCATATATGAGGAACAATAAATAGTCTAGTATGTTTGGACAATAGAGTGTGGAGAGAAGTAATATCTAAGAAGATTGGAAAGGTAGGAAAGAGCTATCTTGTAAAAAGCTTCAAATGCCAAACTGAAGTGTTTTTATTTAATCCTGGAGGTAATAGGGGGCCTCTGGAATTTTTGTGTGTGAGGGTAACATGGTCAGATCTCTACTTTAGAAATCACTGTGTTATATGAAGGATAGATTGGAGTGGGAGGAGTGGGAGAGCTGCCAAATAGGAGGTTGTTGGACCTCTCTCCCTCCTCATCTCTGCCTCTTCACTTTCCTGTCTTCCTTCAAGTATCAGCTCAAGACATTCCTCTGGCAAGAGGTCCTTCACAGTCCTCCTTAACCTTAGTGCCTTCCCTCCAAGGTGATCTCCAGTTTATACTGTATATATCTATATCTGTTGTACATAGTTGTTTGCATTTTGTCTTGCATTAGACTTCAAGTACTTTTTTTGGGGAGGGGGGTTTCCAATTAA